TATTTTTATTATTATCCTTGCATTTGATATAGCGCTTTTCACGTATTCTAGATGTCACAAAGTACTTCACAGAATATACTGTAAAGTGAATTGACTGTATATTTGTGGGCGAAACACGGCAGCCAATTTCACACAGCAGTGTCCCACAAACAGTCATGGATTGAAGTCACCAATTTATTATTGGTTTTTTTCTTGAGGGATTATTATCATTATTATTGTTATTATTAATAATATTACTATTACTAGTAAAAACTCACATTATCAAAGAGGGAAAAAAATTAACACTGGATTTTTTTACACAGTGAGTCAGTCATATGATTATGGAGCCAACAGTTCCACTATTGACACAATTATTCGGATTTATTCATGTAGTGTAATACCGCTAAGTGTTTCAATTTGAAACAGTAGTCTTAGCAATGCTATTGCATTATAAGGAAAAAGATTTCTTCCCTGTAACCTGGCAATAGTTTTCTTCAATTCAATCAAACACGTAACTGATTTGTTAAACACTGCCCCAAGAATACATAAATATTTGCATCCTTTTCACCACAATAATGCAAACTTAAATTTCCAGGATCTCTTACATCAAGATTACATTTCATTTTTTTCTGAATCTTGTATTGTATTGACACTAGCTAGTTTAGTTATCTTATTATTATTAACTGGATTGGCTTCCTGGCTGTGAATATTAAACTCCGGCACTTCTACTGATTCAGAGTCAGAATCTTCTGAGTTTGCATAATCTACTAGAATTTGAGACTGGCCACCCAGGCAGAACTTACTACTATTTATCAAAATTCCACATTTGCTACTGTGTACGGTAACTTTGTCCTTTCTTTGTTCTTCCTCAGGTGTTAAAAAGTGACACGCTGAGAGGTTGAGAACTGCCTGTGGCACATGTTCCCATGGATATCCCTTTCGGAGTCCTGTAGCTCAGTGGTTAGAGCACTCGCTTTGCAAGCGAGAGACTTGAGTTCAATTCCAGGCAGAGGGCGAAACCTTGGGCAAGTTTCCTTACTCCACACAGAGCCTAATAATAATCCCTCCAAAACCAAAAACAATAATAAATTGGTCATTTTCAAGCTACGACTGTTTGTAGGACATTGCTGTGCACAATTGGCTGCCGCTTTCGCCCACAAACATACAGACAATTCACATTACAGTATATTCTGTGAAGCGCTTTGGGATGTCTAGAAGACGTGAAAAGCACTATATCAAATGCAAGGATTATTATTATTATTATTATTGCCTTCAGTGCCAGGGATAGTTTTCCATTGTTTTTCTCCATCACTATGTTTACTGTCTTCATTAGCTACAGCTGGATGAATTAGTTCAGCTTCATCAAACTGACAGCAAATGCAAAGGAAACATTGCCATTCCTCTCAAAGAAGCCTCAGGTATCGGACAAAGTACTCCAAAAAGCAGGTTTCAGTGGAAATCAGGAAGTCAAGAAGCACACAATGATCAAATGTCAAATTATTTAAAAGCAACAGGAAAATGCAATATGGATTGAAACAACTCTCATAATAAACATTATTAAAACAAATAATTCTATGTCAAGACACACCTGCAAGAAACATTACACTCCCAATGAGGCAAAAAAACTCCCTTATCACACTAAATAATAGTTACACAACATGGTTCTGAGGTCACTAGCAGCTCGTAAACATGAAGTCACTTGCAATAACAAGCAGATAACAAACCTCATTATAGTGTGAGTTGGTATTTGATGGATCTGGACAACTGTGTTATAATGGGGCTCCACTCCTATTTGAATCTTTGAAATGCCAAGAATGCCAAGTGCTACAAGGGAAGCATGCTGGTGTATCGTGGACAAATCAACTAGTTTGTTACAATTGTTCTGTTAACAGCAACACAATAGAAATACATTTCTGGAATACAGCTAATTTATAATGTGATTTTTTTGCATTTGTTATAGCGCCTTTCAATGTTGGGAGCGCGAATCACAGCAATTCATGGGATTTCTTGTGAAGTGCATTCACTCTGTATCATGTTGGCAATGTCAAGGTGCTATGATTAAAATATGATTGCAAATTGATGAAAAGTAGCGATGGAGCCATCAGAGGCCGGAACTTCCATCTCGTCTTAGCCTATAAGACCATTTTGTCTTGAAATTTAAGATTGTGCAGAATTGTGGAACATCTTCAGTTTTGTTTTCGTTTGGAAGTTGGTTTGTTTTAAAAACTGAGGTAATTTGACTTCTAAACTGATTCTGAGCCATATTAAATGATAAGGCAAAATAGCATCCTTGGCTAAGACAAAGTGAAATTTACAACATCTGGGGAACATACGGAGATTTACAAACAAACACAATCTGTATACTTTTAGTATATAATTTTCATGAGTTTGCTGAATCTGCAGAAATGTATGCAGACATATTTGTGCCAACAGTTTTAATGATTTGTGTCCAAAATTTCTCAACATACTCTCATATCTGGATCACGTAATAGTAAATATTATGCCATTGTATTTTGTAACATTAAGAGCATTACATGCAAACAACACTAAAGGTCAACAGAAAATGTGTTGCTACACAGTGAAACAGAAAGGGTAATGTGACGTGGCTTAGTTCCACTCATATCTTTGTCCATTAACTAACAAATGAAGCTTGGAATAGTATTAGGTAATATTGTTAGATAACAGCGTGAATTCTCTCTTAATCAGATTTTCAGTGTAGAATCATTTTTGGTGTTAATGTGTTGGTGAAATATCCCTTTGTGTACAAGTCTGCATGATTCTGTCTTTGAAATCTATGCAATTTTTTTTATCTATAGCAGAGTTTGATTGTATTGAACATCCTGTAGTTCAGTGGTTAGAGCAATCACCTCGCAAATGAGAGACCTGGGTTGATTCCAGGCAGGGCGAAATGTTGAGCAAGTTTCCTTACTTCACATGCTTCTGTTTACCTAGCAGTAAGTAGTAACCCCATCATAAGTCAATTAATGGATTGCTTTTCCGGCGATAATAAATTCTTCAAAAACAAAATTGACTTATACATTCAATTCACTTTACAATATAATCTGGGAAATCCTTTGAGACGTCTCATCAACAAGATAAGGCGCTATGTCATATGCAAGGACTATTATCATTATTATGTAATATAACATCAGTCATTTTTCAATCAAAATAGTTTCTGAAATATCTTAGCTGAGTCGGTAGCACTTTCACCTGTGGGTGAGAAAGTTGTAGATCAGAAGGTTGCAGGTCAAGCGACACATCAAGACTTGCACTGAATGTCTAGGCTGAAACTCTTGTGCTGAAGAGTGCTGCATTGATGGAAGTGCTGACTTCTGGATGAAGTAGTAAGTTGACTTTACGCATTTCTCGAAATAACTTTAAAATATTTAATGGACACAAGGGCCAGGCAAATCATGTCTAACAAACCTGATAGAGTTTTTTGATGAAGTAACGGAGAGGGTGGATGAAGGTAGTGCAGTTGATGTAGTTTATATGGATTTTCAAAGGCGTTTGATAAAGTGCCACATAAGAGACATGTAAGCAAAATAGAAGCCCATGGTATTAAAGGGACAGTGGCAGCCTGGATACAGAACTGGCTGGGAGACAGGAAGCAGAGAGTGGTGGCAAACAGTTGTTTTTCTGACTGGAGGGAAGTGTACAGTGGTGTCCCTCAGGGGTCACTACTGGGACAACTACTGTTTATTGATCTATATAAATGAACTGGACTTGGGTATAGGGAGTACAATTGCCAAGTTTGCAGATGATACTTGAGGGTGGAAGCAGAGTTTGGTATCATCCGCCTACATGTGGAAATTTACCCTGTGTCTGCGGATGATGTTATCAAGGGGGAGCATGTAGAGGGTGAAGAGGAGGGGACCGAGGACAGAGCCCTGAAAAACGCCGCACGAGTCAGTGCGGGGGCTGGAGGAGAAGTCGTTTGCCGAGACGAAGTGGACGCTGTGTGAAATGTAGGACCTGAACCAGTCAAGGACAGAACCTTGGAGTTTGAGGTGGGAGGAGAGCCGGTGGGGCTGGTTATGCCTCAGCTAGAGTACGATGTTCAGTTCTGCACATTACATTTTAGACCATAAGATCATAAGACGTAGAAGCAGGATTAGGCCATTCGGCCCGTCGAGCCTGCCCCGCCAATTAATAAGATCATGGCTGATATTCTAACCTAATTCCATTTACCCACCATATCCCCATATTCCTTAATCCCTCTATCCTTTAGAAATCTATCAATCTCTTTAGGAAGGATGTCAAGGCTTTGGAGAGGGTGCAAAGGAGATTTACCAGGATAGTACCAGGAATGAGAGACTTCAGTTATGAGGAGAAGCTAGAGAAACTGGGATTATTCTCCTTGGAGGAGAGATTAAGGGGAGACTTAATAGAAGTTTTCAAAATTATGAGTGGATTCAATAGGGTGAACAAGGAGAAAATATTTCCACTGGCAGGTGGGTTGGTAACCCGAGGACACCGATTTAAAATAGTTGTTAGAAGAAACAGAGAGGATGTGAGGTGGCATTTTTTCACACAGCGAGTTGTTCTGATCTGGAATGCATTGACTGAAAGGGTGGTGGAAGCCAATTCGAAAACAACTTTTAAGAGAGAAGTAGATGATTATTTGGCAAATGACAAGTTTACGAGTGGGTGGGGGGTGGGGCGGGGAAGGGGATGGGATTGAATTGGATAGCTCTTTTCAAAGTCACAATAGGGCAAATGGCCTCCTTCCGTGCTGTATGATTCTATGAAGCTAAGCACTGGCAAAAACATGATGGGCCGAATGGCCTCCTTCTGCGCTATATAGTTCTATGATATATTTTGACAACACCCGAAATTAAGTCAGAGTTGTAATACATAACATGCTGGCATTTACGATTTAAGCAGAGTTGTGAGCTGACACAAAAGTTTGTTACAAATCCCTCTAACAGCGTATGAATGGTGCAAAAAAAGGATTTTTCAAGAAGCGAGAGAGTGAAGCTATTAACTAATGCTTGTATTAGTGCTTTTTTGCATTGTGTTTAAGGAGAGGAGAATCTCCCAAAGAACAGGATGTTGTGAGTTTTGTTGTGGCTGATGAAAAACAGGAATGGATGGTCAGCCACAAATTCCATTGTAATCATTAGACACATTAACCTCATAGTAACTGCTGTGGCAGCTGCTGCTTCTGTACCTTCTTCGTTAACATCAGCAAAGGTTTTGTGAACAACTTTTGACAAATTCAGGTCATTTTTCTCAGTCATTCCCAAGAAATTTGCTTTCGAAACATCAAAAACATCAACCATTCTCATACCACCAAGTGTTGAGGTGAAGCCATAGGTGTTCTCCATCTTAAATTTAGGGAGCATTACAATCTCATCATTATCCATTTTGTATGGATTGGTACAGTCTAACAGCTTATCAGGCCGTTTTGAGCTTAAAAAAGGGGGAAAAGGGGTTAAAACAGCTTATTATTGGCTGAAACATCAGCTAAAAGTTAGGACACTGTTGCAAGCATTCCATGTAGCTTTTGGCACCACATTTTACAGAAGCAATAGAGGAGAAGCACAAGATTGAAAGGATATAGTTTGTAGTTTTGTGGTGAGACATAAAAAGATGGGACTGTTTCCTCTGAAGCTGAGAAAGGAATCTAATGGTCTCACATAATAAGATATTGAAGCAAAGAACATAACAGTATTTAAAAAGATATTTATAACCTTTATTTTAAACATAGGTTAAGGATATAGAGTAGGGAAACAAGATAGATAGGATTTCATTGGGGTGAAACAGATAACAGGACTGGCGTTTGAATTTATTATTTTTTGGTCAAGACTGTATTTATTTTCCCAAAATGAATCCATTTAACAGTGGGATTATTTCAAAAAACTTCAACTTACTTTTTCCAGTCCACTTGCATCATCTTTTAGATCTGGCAACATGATGATCATACTCAGTTCTTTCTGAACATAGCGAGCTCAACTGCATGAATGTAAGTGGTTTTAAACTTGTCCGTCTGGTGCATCATTTGGACTGGCTTGGTTTCATTCTGCAAACAGGAGACAAAACTATCAGCGATTCTAAATTAACCTGCAGAGAACACAGGAAACGATTTATGGGGAAATTCATTGGGCAAGCTGACTGCTTGCATCAGGTGTGAATTGTTCTTCACAGAGTAAGGCTCCAAACATTTAAGTAGCTGGAAAACTAAGGTATCATTTAATTTTTTGAGATAGAAAATGGATCTGAATTGCTGTGATTCGTAATTGAATTCAGAAATTCCAACTACAAATTACACTTAACATTTCTTCCCAGTAACCAAATGAACATGATCTTGCAGTGGAAACTCCACTCTCAAGTAGCTCTCATCAGAGCAAAGTTCCTATGGGTTGGAATATTGCAATTTACATGGAATGTACAGTATGGAAACAGATCATTTGGTCTAACTAGTTCATGACGGTGTTTATGCTCCACATGAGTCTCCATCCACTTCTTACTCCCTTCCACACCCTTCTATTCCCTTCTCCCTCATGTGTAATATCTAGCTTCCTCTTGAATGCTTCTATACTCTCTGACTCAATAAACACTTCAGACAGCGAGATCCACAAATTTTATGACTTATTAACGACAGGAACATTCTAAAAAGAGCACTCGTACAAGTCATCGGAAATTTTAGCAAATGACACAAACTGTAGCAGTCAATACGGCAACTGTCATGTGGGTGAGGAGAAATATTGTCATCTTTTAATTTGATGCCTTACCACATTGTTGAGAAATCTCACAGCACTTCCCAGGAAATATAAGTGGCTTGACTTGCATTTTGCATGGTAATGTGTATTTTTTGTATTTCCTAAGACATATCGTTAACTTCTTGGGAGAAAGCTAGATGAAAGAGAAACCACACAATTTTTCTTCCCCTTTCAGCTTGGGTATTATTTCCCTCTGATAATTAAATTTTGTTCTATTTCTTATATTGAATTTCTTTAACTTTGCAAGATTATGTAGGAAACAGTGACTTTCAAAATTATTTTAAAGGTACAGAAAATATTCAGTGTCATATCAAAGGAAAATATAATCTTAGTCAATTCTCAGCCCTAATCCTGTATTAAGCGCTTTGAGACATCTCAGCAAAAGGATAAGGCACTATATCAAACACAAGGATTATTATTATTTATTTTGTGTTGCTCCGGAGTGCTTTTGCAGTCAGACACTCTACAAAATTAGGGTCAAAGCGTATAAATTAAGGAACTTTATGTACTTCGTAAGCATCTGGACCTGTTTGAAACATTACGCTTACAGAACTTCCGAGAAAAAACATCAAATGAAGCTGCCTGCAGAAGTGCATCACAGGGGCTTTTATGGAGAGGGGCAGAAAGAATGACATTTGTGCTGTGTAACCCAGAGTCTTAGAATAATGACTATTATATACTGTATAACTGTATGAGGGTCACAGACATCGTGTCGTGGTTTAGGTCCTGAACCCTGTGTAAATCTGAGAATAATATAGTATTTACCCACACCAACACCAGGCCCCGGTCTCTCACCTATCCCTGCAGTGAGCCAGGAGGAGCATCAAGCAAGTGTCAGGATTAAGTCGTCCTTGTTGCCTCTCTGGGGACCACAAACTATCTGCAGGAGAGCATCAAGTCCCAGACACTGTATCCTACACTACCCAGAAGGCATCACAACAGGGAGGGGAGTAGACCAAAGTGAAAAAACGTAAGGATTGCGCTCTGAGACCCTACCCTGCGCGGAGGGCGCTATATAAGTGCAAGTTGTTGTTGTTGAGACATCATTCCAAGGCCGCACTGCTTGAACTGCAATGAATGTGGTGGAAGAGACAAGGTAAAGTGAGTGAGCAGGAACGTGTGTGAAAGTAAGCATTTGAGAGCGGAAAGTCAGCTGTAAAGATGTGACGAAAGTCATAGTGGGAAGGAAAAGAGAAAGTCCTCCTCTTGTCTGACGTCATCAACCTCTCCTTGTCCACCGGTTCAGTTCCCAACCCCCTAAAAACAGCCGTCATCACCCCCATCCCCAAAAAACCTTCCCTGGACCTATCTCTCCTCTTCGGCTACCGCCACATCACTAACCTCCCATTCCTCTCCAAGGTCCTGGAACAAGTCGTCGTGTCCCAGCTCCGTTCCTTTCTTTCTCGCCATTCCTTCTTTGAATCCCTCCAATCCGGCTTCCACGCTGCCCACAGCACGGAAACAGCCCTGGTCAAAGTCACTCATGACATTATGAACATCTGTGATCAGGGTCCCCTTTGTCTCCTTGTCCTCCTCGACCCCTCTGCCTCCTTCGACACTGTCAACCACTCGATCCTCATACACCGCCTCTCCACTTTACTCAATCTTCACAGATCTGCCCTTGCCTGGTTCGATTCCTATCTCTCTCACCGTTTCCACTGTTGCCTCTAACGGTTTCTCCTCCAGCTCCCACACTGTCACGTCTGGCATCCCCCAGGTCTCTGTCCTTGGCCCTCTCCTCTTTAATATCTTCATGCTCCCCCTTGGTGACATCATCCGCAGATATGGGGTCAACTTCCATATGTATGCGGATGACACCCAACTCTATTTTTCTGCCTCCACCCTCAACTCCAGGACCACTGCTGTCCTGACAGACTGCCTGTCAGACATCAAGTCCTGGATGCGGGCAACTTTCCTACAGTTGAATATGAACAAGACTGAGGCCCTCCTGATTGACTCGCGCCAGTGCCTCTGCACCTCAGGCTTCAGCAGCATCAACCTCCATGGTTGCACACTTCAACTCACCGCCAGTCAGGAACCTGGGTGTCTTGATTGACCCTCAACTGTCTTTTCTTCCCCACATCCAGCCATGACCCGCTCTGCCTTCCTTCACCTCCATAACATCGCCCGACTCCACCACTACCTCACCCCTCAGACCGCTGAAACTCTTGTTCATGCCTTCATCACCTCCAGACTCGACTATGCAAATGCCCTGCTTGTCGGCCTTCCCAACTCCTCCCTCCACAGGCTGCAGATAATCCAGAACTCTGCAGCCCGTGTCCTCTCCCGCACCAAACTCCACGACCCCATCTCCCGCATACTCACCCGACTCCATTGGTTCCCTATTCTTCAGAGAATCTAGTTCAAGATCCTGGTCCTCACCTACAAAGCCCTCCATGGCCTCACCCCACCCTATCTCTGCAACCTCCTAACTCCCTACCAAACCGCCTACTCCCTCTGCTCAGCCGGCTCCGGACTGCTCCACATTCCCCGACCCACTCGCCCCACCACTGGCGGGAGAGCCATCAGCCACTCTGCCCCCAACCTCTGGAATTCCATCCCCCAGTCACTCTGCCTCACCCCCTCCTTCAAGTCCCGCCTCAAGATCCTCCTCTTCGACCATGCCATCGGTCATCCCCCTAACCCCCCTTCTCCCCCCTGACCCCAGCTCGGGTCTGAGATGCTGTACACTGTCCAGCTCCATGGGACATCCTCCCGACGTGTAAGGCGCTATACAAATGTAATCTTGTTGCTGTTGTTGTTTACCTGTGCTAGGACTGATCACTCATGTGTTGACTAATCTTCGTTGACAAAAACAAGTATGTTGCAGTTGTTTGGTGAGTCCTTTACTTACAAAGAATAATTTAAATATCAGCCTGACTGCATTTGGCAATGTAACAAGATACACTGTGTAACAAAGGGCAAAAATGTTTCATTTGTATCAGACAGGTTCATCAAAAGCTAATGCTGATACAAAGCTGGGAACATTGCAGGTGATGGCTGTTTCCAGTTCATGGTAGGAACAGCATTGCAGATCTCAAAGACATTGAAGTTCTCTTGAAGCACAATACAGTTGATGTTGGTTGATAAGGTAATCAAAGGAATATGCACCAAAAATAACCATCAGAGAGGGTGATGCAGTCTTTGGACTTCTTCCCACCTGTGCTGCCATCACCGCAAACTGAAAGACTTCTATCAGGGAAGGCCCTGAAAACAATCAGATTCATTCATGTTAAAGATGTCCTTGTGTGCATAGCCAGATGTAATCTCAGGGAGTTTCTCCTTTCAGTTGTCAACAATAGCAGACTCAACATCACCTGTTTCACCCAATGTTGTGCTGGACTTGAAACGGCCAAGCCAGTCATTTGATGCCATGAAGCCAGTCTGGCCGAGAGAAGCTGCAAAGCTCTGTGCTTTCTCCTGTATCTTATGGCCAGATACAGGCATA